TGTGCAACCAAACAAAAGAACAGTTATTAACCATAATAGTTGGCTGTAAACTGAACACGATACACACTGAGTACATCATAAATATTTATTAGAGAGTAACCATGGTAATTAATATACACCGTAATCCACCGCAACCCACTCCAGTATTCTTGTCTGGAGATTCCCATGGACAGAGGAGACCGGCAGGCTACAGTCCATGGGGTTGCAATGAGTCGGACACAACTGAAGTGACTTAGCACTCAGCACGCATATAATCAAGGAGAAGTAGTATCTTAAAGTCTTGCCATTATAAGAAAAACTTCACAGCTCACCTACCAATGAACTACACACAACTGAATCCATATTTCAGTATGCAAATCAGAATATCTGGCCTGACTAGTCCTGGCAGAATGCAGAATATCTTGACACAGACTGCCATGCCCCACTCTCCAACACTGAAAATGACGGTCCTTAATTTCAATGGCTCATCATAGCTCTGAAGTAAGAGCTAAAACGAGAGCAAAACATCTAAGTGTAAACTAGCTGTCTAACTATGTAAGTGTAAAGAATCTACCTGCAGTGCAGGAGACCTGGGTTCGATCCCTGGATCAGGAAGATCCCTTGGAGAAGGGCATGGCAACCCACTCCAGGATTCTTGCCTGGAGAATCCCCATGGACAGAAGATGGACTACAGTCCATGGGGTCGCAAAGAGTCAGACACAACTGACCGTCTAGGCACACAAACTACCTGTGACACTCTGAACTTCAGTTCTCCATGCCGACTATAAAGAAGAAATAACAACTACCTAGAAGGGCTGTTGTGTAACTAGACTTATGGTGGTGATGCTTGCAGAACATAAACAAATCTTGAATCATATTGTGCACCTAAAACTAATATTGATACAATGCTACACGTCAACTATATCTCAATAAAAAATTAGCAAAAGAGTTGCTGGGAAGATAAAGATGAGATCTATGACATACTTAAGTAGGTACCTGGAACAAACCCCATATTCAGTACCTGGGTCTTCTTACTCTACTAGGACTGTGTCTCTGACACTGGAGGCCAAACACCATCACATTCACTATTGTCACTACTATTACTACAACCACAAAGCAACCATTGCTGCATCCCACTCCTCTTGGCCAAGAAGCAACCTAGTGGTCACAGGTAATAATTCAGACTCTTTGGATCTAGACACATAAGGCCCAATAGGATAATTACAAAACAAACAAAATAGATAGTAACAAATGTTGGCAAGGATGTAGAGAAACTGGAACCTTTGTGAGAGGTTCCAATGAGAATGTAACATGGTGCAGCCACTTTGGAGAACAATTTTAAACAGACAAATACCATAAGACCCAGCAATTCCACTCCTAGATGTGTACCTGAGTGAAGCGAAAGCATGCATGCACACAAAAACACACCCAGATATTCACAGCAGCATTATTAAAATAGCCAAAAGGGGAAACAACCCAAATGTCTATCGATGACGAATGAACACAATGTGATACATCCATACAATGGAATACTATTCAGAAATAAAAAAAGGATAAAATACTGATGCACGCTACAACTTGGATGAAACCTTCAAAACGTTATAGCAAGTGAAGGAGGCCAGACACACCGGGTCATATATTACACATTCCAGCTGCTGTGAGGATACACTAGTGCATAAAAAGCCCTGACACCATCATCACTATCATATTAAGATTGTGCCCGTGGTACATCACACGTGCTCTGCCAGCATCCCCCGGGATTCCAGAAGACTCGCTGTTTCGTTCCCCGGGGAGCCTGGGCTCGTCTCCTCTCCTTCTACAGCTGGTGGTTACTTCCCTGATCCCCAGGGCCCCTGGGAGAGCAGCCCAGAGCACCTGCACTGCCCAGTAAGCATGGTGGTGGCCACCGAGGCCCTAGAAGGAGCCGGGCACAGTTTCAGGAGTTTGGCGAGGCTCCTTATCCCGATGCTTATAGCCAACCTCCCAGGTGGGCACTGCGGGCCACTGCTCTCCAGAGGGACAAGTGCAAATATGTCAGGTAACCAACTAACTTGGTTAAACAGGAGTCAGAGCTGGAATGAAACCCCACCAGGGTGACCTAGGGTGCTTTCCAGTGCAGAAGGCCACCTTAGATTTCCTGGCAGCTGAGCTCAAGGGGAGAGTGCTCTGAGACTAACACACTGGACTCCCATTCAAAATAGGAGGGTTTTAGGGTATACTCCATGCCACTGAGCACCCCTGCACTCACCCGTTCATTCACACATACACTCAGCATCCATCACTGCCAGGGATAAAGACAGTCCTTGAGGATACTGACTTCAAAAGAGAATCAACACATTCCTAAAGGCACAGACAGATGCCTCGGGGCAAGAGAAGATAGGGAAAGAAACTAATTTCCCTACTTGCAAAGACAGCCTCACCCTCCACCTGTAAATGCCTTGAACAAGAATTCAGAGGAAAAACCTGATGCTCATTTTCAATGCCCTGTATCTTTGGGAACACTGCTTTCAGGACTTGAAGCCATGCTTCTGAGTCTTCTCTGTATAATCTATTTCTATTCAGACAACTGGGCCAGCCCGCAGACCATCTCCTCCCCTCCACTTCCGGGGGCAGGAGGAGCATGTACCCAACTGCCTGGGGAGGGTCAAGGGAAGGGGGCAAGGCAGCAAGTGCTGCAGGAGGTCAGAGGCTCCTTGAGGGACCTCAAGTTCTCCACAAGCCCCAAGACATTTCAAGACAGATATATTCTTGCAGACCTAAGGGTGTGTGGAAGCAATTCACCACACATTTTCTAAAGCCCCATGTCACATCTTAATTTAGCCCTAAAATCCTAAAGGGATTTCCATTATGCCCACAGCATGGAGGTAACGTTAGGGTTCTAATCTCTTCAGAAGTACTAGATACTTTTCAACTTTTTTCCCACTAATAAAGGACGAAGCAACTTCCATGAAAGAAAAAGAAGACACATGAAATATTTCTTTGGAAGGATCAGCGAAATCTTAAAGAGATTTTAAAAGTTCAAAGCTGAGATAGTAAATAAAGAAGTATACTAAATTTACTTTAGGAGATAAAGATTTTCAAATGGTATTTTCAAATGATATTTCAAAAGGTAATACTAATCCAATGTGATCACACAATAAGCTGGCAAATATGTTCAACTGGATACTATTGTATTATGTATTTTAGGAATCACAAGAAAATAATCTATCAATTAAAATTCTAAATAATATTTGATGTACTATCAGATTAAGCTTTTCCTAGAAAGGCAGTGATTTTATAATGAAAGTTAAGTAAGAATATAAAGAAAAAAATTGATGCTCATTTTCAGTAATGAAATATTACTGAATTTATAATAATGAGATCCAAAGATCATTCCCACAGTAAGTACTATAATGAGAGTAAACCATAAAAAGCTACAAATAAGAATTTATTATGTTTAAAATTAAATTTAATGTAAACATTAATAACAATGTATGTGGGACAGAGCACCTATAACATATTCCTGAATAGCATTTAGCAGTTATTGTTTTCACCTGTCAGAAAAATAAAGGACATTGCCAATATCTGCTCTTGATAACCTATGGCCAAGCCAAATGCTCACCTCTATATTTTACTAAAATATATATATATATATTGATTATTTTCTATGAGATGAATTAGAAGTTATTTTCAAATTAGGCATAGAGCAAATAAGATTTCTTTTCAATTATATCCAACTGTATATCCAACTTAAATATATCTTTATTAATAAAACCTATAAATATTCATTGACTTCAATTTTTTTATTAATATGAAAATAAAATGTGCTTGGGTGAAAAATGTATTTTGAACTGTCACATGCTGTAGAAGATTTATTGAATCCCACAGTTGCTTTCAGCTGTCTATATAAAAAAATGAAAGGCTTTCACTTAAGGATAATTTAATTTCGAAGACGTGTATATTTTTTAAAAAACATAGATGTCACAACAAGGATGGTATAGAAACCTGTGAATCGATTTTCACTTCAAAATCAAATCTTTTGTTTGACTAGTAGAGAACAAGGAGGCAATCATTCTTAATGACAATAGTTTCAAGAAAAATCTGATGATACCAACAAAAAGAAGCTTTTTTTAAAAAGGAACAAAATTTATGACATCTAAGCAGCGAGTCTAGTCAAGGCTATGGTTTTTCCAGTGGTCATGTATGGATGTGAGAGTTGGACTGTGAAGAAAGCTGAGTGCTGAAAAATTGATGCTTTTGAACTGTGGTGTTGGAGAAGCCTCTTGAAAGTTGCTTGCACTGCAAGGAGATCCAACCAGTCCATCCTAAAGGAGATCAGTCCTGGGTGTTCATTGGAAGGACTGATGGTGAAGCTGAAACTCCACTACTTTGGCCACCTCATGTGAAGAGTTGACTCACTGGAAAAAACCCTGATGCTGGGAGGGATTGGGGGCAGGAGGAGAAGGGGACGGCAGAGGATGAGATGGCTGGATGGTATCACCGACTCGATAGACATGAATTTGAGTAAACTCTGGAAGTTGGTGATGGACAGGGAGACCTGGCGTGCTGTGATTCATGGGGTCACAAAGAGTCGGATACGACTGAGCGACTGAACTGAACTGAACTGAACTGAAGCAGCAAGTGCAAACAAAGATGCATAAAAGCCTTCAGAAAATCAGTCATGTCTAACCTATAGAATCCTCTTCCACACATGTCAGCTGAGACAGGAGACCAGAGACACAGACCAGCAATGAACTCAGGCCAAGTTCAATTCTCCTGAGACAAGAACTTAGAGCCTCTGAAGCCAGCCTCACAGGAGACACAGGGAAAAACGCCAATATAACATCACACTAATTTAAACATGTACCTTTATTCTTTGGTCGTCAACATCCATAATTGTAGCAAGGCAAATTCACCTGGGGTTTTGCTTATCCACAACTTCAAGTTTCACATTCGGGAGAAAACCATGGTACAATCACTGTGATGTTACAAGACCGACAAGTCATGAGAAANACCTTTATTCTTTGGTCGTCAACATCCATAATTGTAGCAAGGCAAATTCACCTGGGGTTTTGCTTATCCACAACTTCAAGTTTCACATTCGGGAGAAAACCATGGTACAATCGCTGTGATGTTACAAGACCGACAAGTCATGAGAAATCCAACAGTTCAGATGTGTTGCTAACGTTTTCTAAAACATGACTGTTCTACTTTCGCATATACAACTGTAGTTCTAAGAACACACACGCATTCTATGCATATTATTAATATTTCATCCAGGTTTCATAAAAACCTGCAAGAGTTAAAATAATGTTTTGGTTATTTTCAAGATATTTAAAAGACAAAGACAGATTTGATGATAAATTCATTAATGATTACAGGGTTCAAAAGAAGGATCTTATTATAATTTATCCATTGGTTTAGATGTTTTCATTTTTTTTCTAAAATTAACCTTATAACTTAAATTGTGGACTATCACTGCCCAGTTTTGAAGGTGTATGACAAAAAGGAAAAATCAACAAAAAATTAGAAAAGATAAACATATGATCCTTTAGATCTAAATGTTAAAACAGGTAAAAGTTGCCATAATTATTACAGTTGAGCTGTTTTAAAACCACACCATAATGTAATTTAAAGCTACAGCCTGTGCTCTTATTTCATCTTTAATATAACCATGTTAGACAGTATTAACTTAAAGTTTCTTTTCAGTCTTAAAATGCTGGGAACCAGGAGTCTACAAAGATGGTCGCTCAAGGAATATTAAAGAAAATGGAGTGGGGGAAAATGCCCTGGAGCTTACCAAATCACGAAAACTAAGAAAATTCACCAAAAATCGGTCAAAAGATAACGTGGCCAGTGTTTAAGAGGTGGCAAAAAGTTTCACTCTGAAAGCTATTACACATGAAAGTGTTAAGTTGGCTTCCTTGAAAATGAGAGGGTGTTGGGTTTCTCAAGTTTAGAAATAGCAGCAGGAAAATTAAACCTCCAATAATGCATGACTTATAAAACAGCTGAATATTTCTCCAATACCTGGTTTGTTACTCTACAGCTTCTATGAAAACGTATTTCTTTCTAAGATCCATTATCGTGTCTACTGAATGGAGGATACTGACTATAGTTTACTCTCTGATCCTTGAAAATCTTTCTTTTCTCCCTGAGGTCACTGTGCTGATAATAAACATAATTGTTTCAGATGCCAAAGACATACAGCTTGAGGTGAACCCATAATAACCCTGTGACAGAGCCTGGAGGTTGCCTTTTAAACCAGATCTTTTTGTAATTTTACCTTCTTGTAATTTTCTTCTTAGAAAAGTAAAATGAAGCTTTGACATAAAGCAAGAAGGAATGTGAGACTACAAGAAACTGGTACTTTTACTTAATGAATGTTTTGCTGTTCTTAACTCTTTCTAGTACACCAGAACTTACAGCCCTCTTAATTTGATTATCCCTCTTCCTCCAAAGTGGACCTATTATAATCAACTGCTTTTAAAAAATGAAATAGCATTTTGCTTTAAACCCCTTTTAATCTTGAGAAGACTTCCAGTAAAAAAAAAAAAAATCATATGGAGAAGCTCACTATATAAAATTCTGATTAAAGATGAGCCCGAGGACACAGAGTTGAAAGGGAATAGAGCTTGAAAACCACTGGTTTAGAACATAAATATCTCTAACTATGCTATCAGTGCATTTTCTTTATACTTGATTTAATCCTGGAATAAATGTATAAGTACAAATTTGAACTTTACAAGTTGGTATTCTAACAAATTGCTAAAAGCAACATTGCCTCAAAATGTGTGAAAAGGTGTTCCCTCAAAATGGGTGAACAGGTAACACACAGGGGCTACATACGATCCACCTATTTTATTCTGGCATCGCTGACCGTCCAGCAGTCCCTGAGATGAAAAGGTCAAAGTTCCCACTCAGCGGACAGACAGGACCAGAAGTGAGGGGCTCAGCATCAGAGTTTGATGGGGCTTTCAAAGCACTTTGAGGAGGAAAATGGTCACCTACATTTGTGTATAGAAACAATAGTAAATAAGTCACCTCCACTTTAGTATTTTTAACTAAAAGCAAGAGTTGAACCATAAAGAAGGCTGAGAGCCAAAGAACTGATGCTTTCGAACTGTGGTGCTGGAGAAGACTCTAGAGAGTCCCTTGGACAGAAAGATCACACCATTCGGTCCTAAAGGAACTCAGCTCTGAATATTCATTGGAAAGACTGATGCTGAAGCTGCAGCTGCAGTACTTTGGCCACCAGATTCGAAGAGCCAACTCGTTGGAGAAGACCCTGATGGTGGCAAACACTGAGGGCAGGAGGAGGAGGAGGCGACCAAGGATGAGATGGTTGGATGGCATCACTGACTCAATGGACATGAACTTGAGCAAACTCCAGGAGATAGTAAAGGACAAGGAAGCCTGGCGTGCTGAAGCTCATGGGGTCACAGAGTCAGACACAACTTACCAACTGAATAACAACAACATTTTAATAGCCCCTATTCAGAATAGAAGTCTATGATAACCTCTGGGTAGGCTGCTTTGCTTGCATTCATGCTCACGAGCAGTCATTCACTGATCCATGCATTCATTCCACAAGGTCAAGCAGGTGGACCAGGGTCCAAAGGTGGTGTGAGTATGTGGCATGGCCAGGTCACTCCAGGAGGCTCTTCAGAAGTTTGAAAACACAATCACTGTCTGACCTCAAACTGTGAATTGATGATTTTTCCAATTCTTTCAATTATTCTGCATCGATTAGGGTTTTATTCTCATAATTAAAGGTTTGTAATTACAATTTCCCAAGTTTACTATTTCTCATTACAATTTTAAAATATACATTGGTATAACATTTCTGCAGCTGCATTTACCTTTACAGCTCATATTTTAAAAAACCGTCCAAACTCACTCCTTGCTACTTGGGCCTCCACATTTCTGCACAAGATCTGATCTGCCCTTTCAGCATTGAGGCTCCTCAGCCAGCTCCAGGTTCCCCACATGGGAGGACTCCCCGGGGATCTGACCAGTACATTCAGGGTAACGGCAACAAATGAGACCGGCAAGTGGTGGGGTGAAGAATGCTTGGTGAGTAAGCATCCTGCTCTGGCCNTGTCACTGTTTCCATTTTTTTCTGCATCTATTTGCCATGAAGTGATGGGACTGGATATGTGATCAATATGTGAAAATAAAAGACTATGACTGTGTTAAGTGATTCTTAAGTATTAACTGCCTGTGTGTGACTCTCCAGAAATGAGCTGTGCATGTGCAAAAAAGAAAACACATGCATGAATTCTATCTTCCTTGTTCAATGAACCCAAAGAACAGAGCGTCTTACAGCCATGAAAGCTTTGCAAATGACACCCATTCCCCCATCTCCTCTTCCTGCCTAGACCTGAGTCCTGCCAGGCTCATGGGCGGAGGCAGAGGAACAGAGGAAGGGGCAGGGGACAGATCAGGTCACATGGCTAAATTCATATTTGAAACAAGAAAAAAAAAAATACAGGGAACAACAACAGCCTTCAGCCTCTTCACTTATGGCCAAGAGAAGCATGTTTACCTAGCTTCTGTTTGTGTACAGCGTGCTCCACCCACATCAATTCACTGGAAGCTGAGCCAGTAATGATTCTGGCACATCATCGTGTCCTAATGGTGCCTCAGAATCCCACTGGTGCTTCCAGGCAGCACTGCAGGCTGTACAGAACCCAGATGAGGTGTCTGATGTACAGTATTTGCACGAGGCAGATGTGACATTCCCCAACTTGCCATGTAAGAAGGCCAGCTGAAGGGTGAGATGGATTCCAGGCTTTGCTCACAACATCCTCTATCACTTTCCCCAGGAACAACAGCCTAACTAGAAACATGATCCTGCCACTGATCCTTCTTTCCAGAAAACTGGGATCATGAATAAATAACACAAATCCTTACATTCCTAACCTTCTGGTCCAGGTAATATCTTCCATGGAGGCAAGACAACAGTAATTATACCAGAAGCCAATTTCAGAACCAAAAATCATAGGTGTCCCAGGACAAGCAATTCTTAAGTAATGGACAACAGTCTGTTTAATAACCAGCAATAAACAGGGATCTGCTGAGTCTTACTAAGAAGGTTCAATAAGAACAGACAGATATTGACCATAAATACATGCTGGGAGGACTTAAGAGTCCTCTTCATCTATTAATAACTCCTCATTTTGTCGATGAGGAAAGTGAGTCCTGGTACTCTAGTTGACATGTCAAAGGTAGGACAACTTAATAAGCAAAGCTGGAGCCCAGGTATCCTGGCCTGCAATTTACAGAGATTAAGATCTTCAGGGAGCTGCTCTGAGGCCCAGTGATGCTCCAAGATTGTTGGGCACTGAGACAGGAGCAAGCACCAGTGCCAGCAAGCAATAGGGGCTAGACCACCAGTGCCAGGGAAGCCAGACTGGGTTCTGCCATCATTTTAAGAGACTGGGTTCTCTAAGAAAGCCCCTCAGACACGACTTCTTGCTCTGATTCAGGTCATGCTCACGAGGCAGAGCAGTGACTTCATATGTCGAGGCCTCCCTATGGTAGAGACCAAGAAAAGCCACCACTGACTGGGAACAAGCAGATAAAAACATATGTACACAATATTAACCCATTTTTATAGCACAGACAATGATTTTAAAAAGGACATGCATTCATGAACATATGCATGTTTGAGTGTGCATGTCTGCGTATATTCAATTGTATGGGAATTAGCAAAAAATGCATAGCATGGAATGGCTAATTGTTCATTTCCCTCTTGGGAAAACAGATGAACTGAACTCCCTTTACTTCCATGCATTTAAATGCTGACATGTAATTGCATTCTGGCCAATGCATGTGCACAGAAATGATGCAAGAAGACACTTCTGAGTCTGGCCCCAAAACCCTTTCATGTGTGACCATCAGCCCTCTTCCCATTCTCAGGTCTGAGAGAAAGATTCCCAAGGACCCGGGGGAGAGTAATTAAATGGAGCAGAACTGACTCCTATCAACCATGACTGTACTTTGACAGGAGCAAGAAATCCATTCTTAATGTGTTATGGCACTAACATTTTATAGAGTGGTCTGATATGCTAGTTAGCTCATGAAAATTAGCATGGAGGAATTACCTCCAACTGCTATTTACTAGGAGAGAGTAACTTGGGTATAAGGAGAAACGAATGTAATAATACAGTATAAATACATGTATATTATACAAAAACATCAATGAAACTAGTACAAGGACACAAAACTACAATGAAAACAGGTAAAAAGCCAAAAGCAGATGAGAACTGGTAACAAAGATTCCTGGAATTGGGAAAGGAAACTGGTGAATGAAAACTGATTTACCATCTAGTAATTGAGGACACCAAACATAAATATGTTACAGAGAAATGCCAGTATGGAGCAAGTTAATTTACCTTATACAAACCTGGAAAGTAGATTAAAGGCTTGAATATAAGGCTTGAAACCCTAAAAACTCCTAGAAGAAAACAAAGGCAATAAGCTCTTGATAGTGGTGATGACTTCCTGGATTTGATACAAAAAGCAAAGGCAATGAAAGCAAAAAGAAATGAGTGGGACTACATTAGACTAAAAGGCTTATGCACAGAAAAAAAAATCATCAACAAAATGAAAAAGCAACCTACTGAGTAGGAGAAAATGTTTGCAAATTATGTTATGTGATATGAGGTTATAGACAAAGAATTGATACAACTCAACAGAAAAAAACAAGCAAACAAATTTAAAATCTTCACATAAAATCTGTGTCTATATTTTGAGATACCTGGTCTTGTTCCATTTTCTTTCTTTTTAATGTCTGAATTTTCTTACATCACAAGAATACTGGAGTGGGTTGCCATTTTCCCTTCCAGGGGATCTTCCCAACCCAGGGATTGAATCCGCATCTCCAGTGTCTCCGGCATTGCAGGTGGATTTTTTACCAGCTGAGCCACGTGGGAAGCCCCAGTTTGGCCTACTATTGCAAAACAAATGCTTAACCGTGGTTACATCAGGGTTTGACTATAAACTCCTCACTTTGGCTTTTAAAGGTCTTTTCATAAAATGACCTCAATCTGCCCATCCCACTAATTCCTCATTAATATTCCAAAACCGAAGTGAAACCCATCTTAAACTCCTGACTTCCAGAATAACAAGACAGGAAATCTGTACTGCTTCAGCTCACGGACTTCATGGTAATTTGGTACAGAGCAGTACACAAGAACACACAGCAAGCGTCCTCAAGGAGGTGGAGAAGCTGCAGCCCTCACACGCTACTTCTTGTTGCTGTTGTTGTTTAGTCATGTCTGACTCTTTGCAACCCCGTGGCCTGTAGCCCGCCAGGGCTCCATGGGATTTCCCACTACTTGTGGGAATTTTAAAAATTGCAGCCTCCTGTGGTTAAAAAGTCATTAAGTAATTACTCACTCACTATTCAGTAAGGCAAACATAGAATTACTATATGACCCCAATTTCACTGCTATGTATAAACCCAAGAGAACAGAAAACATGTTCAAGCAAAAATGCATACACAAATATTCACAGCAGCATTATTTGAAGGAGTCAAAAAGCGAAACCAGCTCAAATGCCCATCAACTGATAAACTGAATATGCAAACTGTGGTTTATCTACACAAAGAATATTATTAGAAACTAAAAAGAAACAACACACTCTGACACATGCAGCAATGTGGATGAACTCTAAGATCATTAAGCTAAGTGAAAGGAGTCAGACACCAGAGGCCACAGCTCGTGTGATTCTATTTACATGAAATATTCAGAATGGGTGAGACAGGAAGTAGGCTGATGTTCTCCGAATGCTGCAGAATCAGAGGGTTGGGGATAAGAGCTAAGTGGCCCAGGTGATGGAAACATTCTAAAATTGACTGTGGTGATGGCTATACAATTGTGTAAATATACTTAAAATCCTGGATTTTATAAATGGATGAATTGTACAGCATGTGAATTAGATCTTGATAATGTTTTTACACAAATACATATAGATCCCTTTCTTTTATTCTTACTAGGCTCTCTCCCTTCTATGGGCTTTCCTAGTGGCTCAGACGGTAAAGATTCTGCCTGCAATGCAGGAGACCTGGGTTCAATCCCTGGGTTGGGAAGATCCCCTGGAGTAGGGAATGGCAAAGCACTCCAGTATTCTTGCCTGGAGAATCCCATGGACAGAGGAACCTGACGGGCTACAGTCCATGGGGTTGCAAAGGGTTGCACAACTGAGCGACTAATCAAAAAAACTAGAATCAATAATTGATTATAACAAGGTTGCAGGATACAAGGTTAATATATAGAAATTCAATTGCTTTCCTATACATTGGCAAAGAACAAGTGAAATTTGAAATTAAAAACACAGTACCATATACATTAGCATCCAAAATAATAAAATAGCTATAAATTTTAGCCAAATACATATATGTATATATATATATAAGATCTACATAAGAAAAGCTATAAAATGCCACTGAAATAAATCAGAAAACTAAATAAGTGGAGAGATTCTGCTTCTGTAATAAGAAAACAGATACATAACAAGAAATGAATTCCTCTGTCAGTGTTCAGCCACTAAGTTGGCTGGGTGAAAGAATCTGGCAAGTCTGAGCTCTCATCATCAATTTTCACTTTTTAGGTTTCTGCATTTCTTACATTTAACTCCAAAGTGAAGTATATATTTAATAACCATGTTGTTGACGTTGCTTAGTCATTAAACCGTATCCGACTTTTGGCCACCCCATGGACTGTAGCATGCCAGGCTTCCCTGTCCTTCACTACCTCCCAGATTTGCTCAAACTCATGTGCGTTGACTAGGTGATGCCATCCAACCATCTCATTCTCTACCATCCTCTTTCCCTCCTGCCCTCAGTCTTTCCCAGCTTCAGGGTCTTTTCCAATGAAGTCTGCTGTTTGCATCAGGTGGTCAAAGTCAGTTAATGAATTAACATTAGTTATGAGTTAAATTACATAGGTGGAAATAAATAGTTTTAAATGTTAGTTCATGGCAATGGTTCTCATTTCATTGGATAAAAAACAGTATCAATTTTTAAACAGCTGCCTAATATGACTTTATAAACACAGTCCATTTGTATTATGCAGATTCCCAACCTCTGGGTCCCTCAAGGGTTAACAGAATCTTTCACAGTATCCTTATGACACCCTTTGTATCGAAATGTGGTTTGCATAAACAAAAATAAAATGGGTATTGCCACTCAGGCAGAGATGACTTCAAAGAGATCTCAATCAGCCCACTCACCTTGGGGTCCTATCAGAGTTCTTCCATGCTCCCAACACCAACCAACTGGCTGGACCTAAAGGACGACTGACATCACACCTGCAAAAACAGGGTTCTATTTTAGATCCTGTATTAACACTAGAGAAATAATCCAAGAGTAATGATCATTCTGGATGTAAAAAGACACACGGAAAATATTACTGCACAGCTAAAATATTTTATAGCCTAAGCAAGTCAGAAGTAATTTTAGGATTCTATTTTGTCAGCTGAGTGGCCAAACTTCTTTTACATAACCTTGAAATTTAAAAATATTTCTTTAAAAAGTGTTTGACTAGGACCTGAACTGCCAGTGATCTCCCCAAAGAGTGAACATTTTAATAAACCTTTTCTACCACTTCTTGCCAGCAGCAAGAAAATATTAATAGGTCAGTCCAAATTTTAATAGGACAGACTGGACTTCATATGTCTACAATTTCCTCCCTCTTTCTTTTCCAGGGGTCCAGACTATTCTACCTAAGACACCTACAGGAATGAACCTACACTCTGCTTAGTTGAAAGATGAAAACTGACCCCCTCCCAAAGACATGCAGGTGAAGAACCACAGCCTCAGGCGGGGATCTGTTGATTATTCAGGATATACTCTGAAGAAAGGCCACAAAAATTATTTTTGCCATGCCCTCTTCCATATTTCAGATTTTCACCCAGAAAATCCTTTTAACTCATGCAACGTTAGTTTAATGGCATGGCAAGCATACATTTTCTCTGCTCCCCATAGGCTTTCAAATTATTCTCTCTAGTCTCCCTGAATCTTTCCTTTTAAAAATATGACAGTCTGAGTTCAACATTTTTCAGGGGAAAAAAAAATACTGCAAGTTCTTAAGTTTTTCTTCACAGAAATGCTTCCCTTACAAACTAGACATGATATGGTGCAGTGCTCTGAACTGGTCACATTATTTTAGATGAGACCTCATTAGGCAACCTCTCAGAGACGGAGAAACAGTTTCTCGGGCTCTTTAATTCAACAGTTCACAAGCAAGAGAAGGTAGTGACAAGTCAGCCTCTAAATTCCTGATGTTCATTACTGTAAGAATGGCAAGAACAGCGACTTGACTGAAACTGTTCAGTGGTGGAGTGAACATAAACTCTCAACGGCAAACACGAACACACGGAAATACAGTGCATGTCGGTATCTCACTAGAAATCGTAACTATCATCCCAATTGTCAAAACGCACTTGCAAGCAATTGCCAACAATATCTGCTATGGTCGCCACACACACATCAAGGCAGGGTTCTTCCTGCCGATGGCCTCCAGCTTCACGCTGATCTGAAATTCCTTAGGCGTTAGCCTGTTTTAACAGCACAATGAGGGAGAGGCAGAAAGAGAAACAGGACACCAAACAGGACTGCGCTACTGTCCAAACTGCGACGTTTACCATCGGAAAAGTCTACCGAGCATCAGCACTTGCCCTCCAGAAGGAAACCAGCCAGTAAAAATATGCAACGGGCTGTTACCAGGTACACATTCATTTAAAAAATTCCCAGGACACAAGCTTTTATTTTGTGCTTTTCTCTTTGTCATGCAGGTAGGTTTTATTTCCCTTATCATTTTCTCTCTTCAGTTCTTAGAGTAACTGGTATTAATTTTAAAATACACTGTTAACTGAATATGGTAATATCAAATAATTTCTCCACTCCCTCTAGGCTTTTGATGGGTGGTATATTTCCAAATACCATGATTTGCAAATGCTGTAGAGATATGTTCTTTAGCACTAAAATTATCACTTACTTTGATCAGAGTTGAAATTAATGGCTTTCTCAATGTTTAAGGAACACATGCACTTATCCATAAATAAATTATAGTTGAAAATAATGAATGCTTTTTTTAATACCTGTACATATTTTTTAGTATTAAAAACACCAAGGATTATCATGACAATGATAAAGTTCCACTTTTCCTACGGCTATAAATTAGTCAGGCTAGAAATTTATAAAGTATACACACTCTCTGGGGACTAGAAGAAGGTTTTCTTTCTACTTCTTTACTGTCTACACTGGGCCTTGATCTTTAGTTTCCTTTAATACATTTTTAAAAGCAGTTTCATATAACTCTCTTTCCTTGATATAAGTCTATGAAACCAGTCAATCCTAAAGGAAATCAACCCTGAATATTCATTGGAAGGACTGACACTGAAGCTGAATCTCCGATAATTTGGCCACCTGATGGAGAGAACTGACTCACTGGAAAAGACCCTGATGCTGGGAGAGATTGAGAGAAGGAGGAGGTCTTGAGATGTAAAATCCTATCCTTTGGGTTTTGGGGTTTATTGTTTTCTCCAAACAAATCTGATCTTTAAAGTTCAAAAAAAAAAAAAAAAGAGAGTAGGAGGAGAAGGGGGCAACAGAGGATGAGATGATTGAATAGCATAACCAACTCAATGAACATGAGTTCTGAGCAAACTCTGAGAGGTAGTGAAGGCCAGGGGAGCTTGGCGTGCTGCAGTCCATGGGGTCACAAAGAGTCGGACTGGACTTAGCAAGTGAACAAAAACAACAATGAAACACTTTGAGCAGCTGTGAACACTGGTTTACAAGGCAGGACACAGAAGCCTGGGGAAGCGGGTGGGCCATCCTCAGGGGACATAGCCAGCAGGTGGCCAGGCCTCTTCTGGTCCCAGACTTCTGGCCCCTCCCCAGTGTGTGGCTCCCCCAGGGCCCAGAGGAGGTGGGGCTGTGACCCCCTCTCCTGAGCACCCTTTAGGCTGCTGGGATATAGAGCGCGTGAGTATGTGCTACCCAGTTCTCACAAGCCCTTTGAATCTGTATGAAATGTCACCCTCTTTTTCCTTGCACGTAAATACACCTGGATCAGGTACAGTCAAAGTCCTGGTTTATCAGCAGGTCTCAAAGTACCAGACTAAGTTTAATTGACTAACTCATTAAAAGCAAAAAGAAATATATTCTAAAAGGCATTTAAAATGTTAGTGGAAGTGTTAGTTGCTCAGGAGTGTCCAACTCTTTGAGACCCCATGGACTGAAGCCCACCAGGCTCCTCTGCCCATGGGATTCCCCAGGCAAGAATACTGGAGTGGGTAGCCATTCCCTTCTTCTCAGGATCTTCCTGACCCAGGTATCAAATCCGGTTCTGCTGCCTTGCAGGCAATGTTAGCTGGCTTTCAATGCAAAGTTCCCCACTCTCTCCATTTAATTAAAGTACTCAATTGTATGTTTAAAAGGTGTGTTTTGGGGGGGGTAGGTTTGTCCATAGAAAACTGACAAATTTAGTGATAAAAATCATAGGAAGTTAAGGATTCTTAAAAGATTAAACACAACAAGAATACGTAGTGAATTTTAAGAAATTTAAACTGAAGTAAAAATCTGCTTTATACTAAGGAAGAAAATACTTACAGAACTCTGAATAATTTCTGAATCATTTCTTGGGAGCATTTTGTAATTTTCATGCCTTCAAGCAATCCATCCAAATAAATTTATCTTTTCCATAACCTAAAAAAAAAGGATGGATTACCCACAATGCCCCCAAGATGTAACCATGTGCATAATAACCATATTATTCTTATTCAGTTTTCTGCCATAAATTCGATGTCGTTCAGCAGACACAAAAGATTTAAGTGAAAATCTCTACACTGCTTCAGTGTGTTTTTCAGCGTATGGAATTCAAACCTGTTGAGTGTGATTTCTCAACATGCATGTCATTCTCTACAAATCCTAAAACTCATTAAACTATGGAACCAGGACCTGGTGGTCTGAGGGACTCTCATCTCCTGTGAAAGCTTCCAAAATGGGCAGAGGGGGGCAGGGCAGAGCTCCTGAGTCCCCAGGCCAGCGAGGGCCTGATGGGGAGCAGTCCCAGGGAAACCAGGTGCAGGAATGAATGACAGAAAACTCCCCAGGCCATGGGGCAGACCCAGCTCTCTGCTCCTTGTCTGTATGGGCAAAACACTTGACCCTCCTGTCCATGTCCCTAACGCAGCTGGTCTCAGCCTGGCCCAGACCACTCAGCTCAGTATACACTTCAGACGAATGACATTCAGAAGAGACATCAAACTCCTTACAGGGCCTTCAAGGTACGGCCAGACCTGCCACTCACCTCCCCGCTCCTGGCCCTCGCCTCTCCACTCCAGTGCCTTCAGCTCCCTGTAGTTCCACCACACACCTGCAGGCTGGCTTCTTTCCAGAAGCCGCCTGGCTGTCTGTCCTGTGCGTCTGTTAGGGGAAGCACACTGACTGAAACTGCCGCCCTGGCCAGCCACCAGAGTAACCATTTGCACGAGTTGTCTTACGATAGGAGGTCCTGGTAAGGAACATGGAACTAATGAGCCACCACCAACCGGAAGAGTTCGGGAAAGGTCAAAAGGAGACACTACATGTCCAACCACCTCCCAGAATCCTCCTCTCTGGCATCCATCTTGGCTGAACAAGGCGTGCACCACCAGGAAGGACCCTGAGGCAGAATGATTGGCTAAAGACAACCCTGAAACTAAACCCATCACCATAAAACCCGAGACTGTGAGCCACGTGGCAGAGCAGTTCTCCTGGGTTCCCTTACCCCCCTGCTCTCCACCCGGGTGCCCCTCCCAATAAAATCTCTTGCTTTGTCAGCACATGTGTCTCCTTGGACAGTTCATTTCCAACAGTTCTTGTCAGACAAGAGCCCAGTTTCAGGCCCTGGAAGGGGTCCTCCTTCCTGCAACACATGCACTTTACATCAGAAATATAGGGCTTCCCTGGTGACTCAGTCTGTGCAGAATCTGCCTGCAATGCGGGAGACCTGGGTTTGATCCCTGGGTTGGGAAGGTCCCCTGGAGGAACCCACTCCAGTGGGTTCCACTCCAGGCAACCCACTCCAGTATTCTTGCCTGGAGAATCCCATGGANGGTCATAAAGAGTTGGACACGACTGAGTGACTGAACTGAACTGAACTGAAAGAGGAGACTAAGACAAGATTTTTAACTCCCATCCAAAGAAAATAGTGAAGGACTTCCCTGGTGGTCCAGTGGTTAAGGGTCCACCTGCCAGTGCAGGGGACACGGGTTTGATCCCTGGTCCAAGAAAATCCCACAGGCCCTGCGCCACAACTACTGAGTCTGAGCTCTCTAGCCCCCAAGCCACGACCACCCACGTGCCCTACAGCCTGTGCTCTGCAATGAGAGAAGCCACTGTGACTGTTCCAGCCAAACGCTCCGGGAAACAAACTCATCAGAAGGGCAGTGTCGATAGTGGAGTGCAGTTTATTACACCGGAGGGTCTGAGGCAGACTTTCCTCTTTAGCCAGGGACCCCGACCGACTTTTGTGAAAGCCTTATATACCGTTAAGTGTACTGCTCAAGCCCACATCCCCAAATTCCTTAAACCTAGCCTGGAAAGGGTTAAACGGAGATACAATCAGGTTACAGCCATGATTCATAATCAGAAGGGTCAGCTGGTTATACATTGTAGACTACACCAATGGATGCCATAAAGATTATAAAGGTGATAGACTACATAGGGGATTATCACATTCTTTTTGACAATGGGTAACATTGGTATGGAATCTGGTGTTTATCAGTCCAGGAGGCCAGTTCGCCATGGGTATGTTATCCCCATGGCTACCAGGCACATAGTCCAAAGTTCACTGAAAGTGCAAGATGGAGTTTCCTTCTTTTTCAAGAAGGAGTCAGCTCGGCCTGTTCCTTTCCTCCTTCATGAAGAGAAGCCCACACACTTCAACCAGAGAGCGGCTCCCACCCGCCACAGCTAGAGAAAGCCCATGAGCAGCAACAGAGACCCAATGCATCCAAAATTTAAAAAATAAAAAAATTTTTTAATAATGAAATTTTTCTCTTTCAGAGTTCCCTGCTTGCCGTGATTTCTGCTTGAAACAAATGACATACAGTGAATCAAGTTTCCTTACTGTGCAGCATCACTGATTAAGGGAAATGTTTTATTTTAATGTAATTTAAACATTAGTTTCTTCATTCCTTATAAAGCTTAATAAACTTCATTAAGATAAAATGCTCTTGTAAGATTTTATTTCTGCCCTACATACCTTAGAATACTTGACCCAAATGATCACTGATGCTTTTAAAGACATTTATTTATTTCTAAGAGTGGTATCCTTGTAGTCTTATGGCTCTTTGTGGATCAAATTTTCATTTTGAAAATCAATTCATGCAGGATCTCTTATTAGTATTTCATAAACCATTGTTAAAATAAAGCTGACTGCCTTTCCCTCCTGCTTACCCTGAGGGATGTATAAGTCATGTTTGGTTTTTTCACACCACCCCACTGGACAGATGTCAGGGAAGCCAACATTGGTTCAAAAATCGTAGCAGCTTAAATAACCATTGAAATGAAGCCATAGATGGTAATAACCACACACCTGCAAAAAACAATGTTTACAATCTTTGGGTCATGCATTTGAAGTGTACACAAAATCAACATTTTCATTTACTCTGTTGACACCATCAATATATATGAACCAATCGTTACATCCAAAAGTACTTATGTTAGAGAACAAATTCATAGATGACATCTGGATAAGACTAAATGCTGACAAACTAGACACTATCTTTCAAGTATAAGATTTTTTCTGCGAGAAAATTATCCTTTTACTCAGTCTAGGAATCTGAGATCAATTTACATATCCATCGATCAACAAGTTATTTACTCAATGACATTCAATACCTATCAAATATTCGTTTCAGAAACCCCATGCCCTGCTGCCTGGCTCAGATTCACATCCCAAGACATTGAAGTGCCAAGCAAAAACCAACAAGGGTATGATCTTACTTCAACTCTGACATATGCATCCAGCACACTTAACAAAGAAAATAATAACACAGTCTGGAAAACACATCTCCTATACATGCTATACAAGTTTAATAACTGTAATCAATCAGACAATTAAGTGAATAGTGTTTTTGATGTTTAATGTTATTCAAAATACCGAGGTCTTTTATCAATTTACTAACAAAATATTTAGTAAATATTGTATTTTATAAGTAATTTACTTTTATCAATGGCTCTTAACCCTATATAATTTTCATAAAATTCATGTACATCGGCAAATGCATAATTCATAAGCATGGATATTTTTCATATACATTTCTCATTAGTGCAGATAAAACCTGAATAACTACGTCTCTTCTAACAGAAAAAAAGCAACACTGTGGGATTCAGGGATTTCACCAACCTCAGGTGAAAACTATTACCAATTAAATTAAGTAAGGGTAACCATTAGTAAGGAGGGACTTACTAGAAAATTATAATCTTCAGAGAATGAAAAAAAAATCATTAAAAAACATATTTCACCTATCACTGAATAAAATGAATCCACAATGTATTGGAACTTGTTTATAACACAAAGCACTGAAATTCGTCGTTCTCTAGAAAATTCTCCTCTGTCATTGCAATTAGCCGAACAGTAACATCATCTCTTACCTCAGCTACAGAGAGCACACAAAATAGAGATGGATGTTGGTGGTTGATGCCTTCCAATTTTATTCCAGCCTGAAAGCCATTTTCTTGCTCTGGAAAGGGCTGGTCCTGTGAAATTTCACAACATAATAATATCGGCCACTGAAGTAGCTCCACGGTCTGATGTTAAAACACGTGGTGTGGCTATGCACACAGTCACACAAGCCTGGAAGCTCAGTAACACAGGTATTAAGAAAGAAGGCTGCTCTAACAGATTTTGCCCTCAAAGATGGCATGGTCACTTGTACATGCTTTAAAATATTTCATCTGCCAAAGTCTATGCCCCATGAACACCCCATTTATTTCATTTGCCCCTTTTTCCTTAATGATTTGAAGGAGAGTCTCCTGAGCTCTGGTAACAATCTTTTGTTGAGTGTGTTAGTCTTTAGGTTGGGTTTCACTCTTTGCGGACCCACGGACTATAGCCCTCCAGGCTTCTCTGTCCATGGGATTTCCAGGTAGCCATTCCCTTCTCCAGGGGATCTTCCTGATCCTGGGATCAAACCAGGTCTCCTGAATCACAAGTGGATTCTTCACCATCTGAGCCACCAGGGGTTATAACAGTTACCTATCCCCAGTCTGTGACTTGGCTCTTCATTTGTATATGATAACTTTGTTGAGAATTTCATTTTAATGTAATATATAAATCATGTCCTCTATTGTTGGCACATCAAGCCTATGAAATCCTTTGCAACAGTGAAGTTACATGAATAATCTCCCAGTGTTATTTTAAACCTTTGTTCTTCCTATTTAAATCTACAATGCCACAGTATTGATTTTTTTCTACAGTGTGGTAGAGCTCTATTTTTTCATATGGAAAACAAATTATTAAAAAAAAAACTTTTTGAATAGTCCATACTTTCATTTGTCTGCAAAATTTCCTCTATTATATCATGGTCCTACATGCCTGGGTCTTTTCCTGGCCTTTTAATCCTATTTATTGGCATATTTGCCTACATCACAGTGTCTTCATTGTTTATAATGAGTCTATCTGGAGAGCAATCTGTATCTGATTGAGTTTTCTAATTTAGGAACTTGTTCCCTCTCATTTAATCTAATCATTTCTTTGTCCAAGATGTTTTTCAAAATTTTCACATAGACTTCATCATATTTGTCTGTATACCTTTTATACTTGTTGCTATTGTAAAAGGGGTTTATTTTCATAGAAGACTTTCTCATTCATTCCCATTCATTATTATTTTCTTCAGTATAGGTCTTGTTTACCATAGCCTTGCTGAATGATTAACAGCTTTTGAGCAGTTTTGAGATGATTCAGCATTATTGGTTTATTCTTGAGAATAAACTTGTAAGTATACTAATGGAAATTATTAAAATATAGTACAGTCAGACCTAGAGCTGCTTTTTAATCATTATTAATGACTATTTTAACATACAAATGCCTATTTTTAGGGTAATTTACTCAAGAAAAAAACCTTTTCATTTGGAAATGTGAAACTTAAAGGTTCCAAGAACAAAACAGTACAGAGAACAGAATAGCCTCTGTCTAGATTTATTGTTAACATTCCGCCTCATTTGCTTGCCCCCACTCAAGTGTCTATGTGTACACAGATATAAATAGGTAGATAGAGAAATAGGTGTACATATGATTTTTTAATCATTGGGGCACTCTTTACCCCTAAACACTAAAAATTTTCCCTAAGAGCAGTTTATTTTCCCCAAGAATAGGAAGGCTCTCTTAGTAACAACAGCTCAGTTATCAACATCTCTAAATTTAACATTATTCAATACTTTAATCTTCCACTCATATTCCATTTTTCCAATTTATCCAACAATACACTTCATAGTATTTTCCCCTCCAGAGAAGGATTCAGTTTCAGGTCAGATATTAAATTTAACTGACATGTGCCTTTAGTCTCCCTCAATCTGGAACATTTTCCATAGACTTTATCTCTTATAACATTAACATTTCCAAAGAATATAATCTTTTCCCTTCTTTATTTTTGAAAACAAAGTTCTCTGCTTTGGATTTGTCTGATGTTTCCTTGTGACTAGATTCAGGTTATGATTTTTTTTTTTTTCGCCAGTATATGACATGAGTGATGATGTGTCCTTCCCAGGATATGACAACTGGATCTATATGGTGTTCCTGGGTCACTGGTGATGATAATTTTGATCACACAATTATGTAGTCTCCAATTCCTTCACTACAGTTACATACAAAATACAGTTCAGTTCAGTTCAGTTCCATCGCTCAATCATTTCCGACTCTTTGCGACCCCATGGACTACAGCACGCCAGGTCTCCCTGTCCATTGCCAANTTACATATGTATATGAAAATGTTAGTTGCTCAGTCATGTCTGACTCTGTGTGACCCCATGGACTATAGACTCAGTCCATGGATTTCTCCAGGCAAGAATACTGGAGTGGGTTGTCATTTCCTCCTCCAGGGGATCTTACTAACCCAGGGATCAAACTCAGACTCTCATGTTACAGGCAGATTCTTCACCATCTAAGTCACCAGGGAAGCCCATGTATGTGTGTGAACACACACAGACACACACACACATACAAAAAATTGCAAGTTCAAGAAGATCCATCACATTCCCACCCATCTCCAAAGGGCTCTTCTTTTTCTATGTTTGGGTTCCTCCTCTAACAAGGTACCATGCTTACTCATGGAAAGCGTATCTACCGTAGCTTCAGAACTCTCTCACTCCCACTATAGCAATGAACAAACCCACAACAAAGAGTTCAGGATCTGTTCACAAACTTCTCTTCCTGCTGTGCCATCCAAGAATGGGGTACACAGTTAAAAACTCTCTTCATAAACTACTATTTATGAACTGTTCATTCATTCTTTCTCTCCTCAGCACAGAGAAGAGAGAAATGTGGCTGAGTTCCATTTATTTCTATTTTCTTTCAGTTTCTAATGATTTATTTTGACTTTTAATATGCAGAGTATCAAATTTCCCAAAGGTGAACCTCTACAAAAAGGGACTCAAAGAAGTATCTCTCCACTCCACATCCTATCCCCCACACCATTCTAACCTAACAGGGGACCAACCTCACTCTTTCTAAGGTTTAACTTTTCCAGGTTTCTTCTTGTAAAAATAAGCAATTACACTTGTTTTTTTCCCTTGTTTCCCCCTTTCTTCTTATATAAGAGCACATGATACAGGCTGTTTTGCACTTGGCTCTGTTCTCTTCCCTGTGTCCCCTGGAAGCCACCTCATGTCAGGTCGTGGCCACTGTCCACCTTCTCTTTCAAGCGGCACTGCCCTCAACCACATGTAGGGAACATCGTTTACTCAACCTTCTTCCATACACTTGGGTGCACGCCTTTTATATAAGAAGAACATGGAACTGTTTTTAAAATCTTTATGAATTGGCTTGTAAGAATGTCGTGAAAAACTTTCTTACATTCACAGCTCATTTTACAAGGTTCCAAGGAAAAACTTGAAAGATGACAGAAACCAAAAACGAAATGGCAAGAATGAGTGATTTCTCAGGAATATTTTATTTCTACAAAAATAAATGTCATGTGTGTGTTTAACTCTCCCAGCCTTCTTCTCACTTCTCCTCTGTTTCCCAGCAGATTGCACTTAACAAGTTTTGTTTGACTGCCTCCTGTTCGCTGCTTTGAAATTCCTCAGTTAACTTCAAAAGCACCACGTCCATATACATAGATACATATATACATGCATGCAATATGGCTAAGAAAAGCAAACGGGAAGGAGAGACCTGAGGAGAAGATAACAATAAGGCTGGAAGGAAATTTAAGAAGCTGCAGGAAATGAGAGGACATTTTTCATGTTTCAACAAAACTGAAGGATGCAAAGTTGGGGATGGGAGGGACCAGTATTATATCATATATGAATGATAAATTCAAGGCACTGGCAGTGAAACACAGCTGAGAGCTGGGAT